GGTCTTCATGGCGTGCTGGAACAGCAGCGGCTTGAAGGCGTAGTTGTTGACCTCTTGCACGTGGGGCGGGTACTCCTCGTACGGGAACCTCACCACCTCCACACCCCGCCAGCACCTCAACCGGGCCAGCTGCTCGCTGGTGAACCCCAGGTCGTACACCACGATGGGCAGGTCGGGCTCCCAATACTGGGGGCCCCGCCACGTCGGATCCGATTGGACCGCAACAGGGGAGGGAGAGGGCCAGGGAGGGACATCAGTAACAGGCACGAGACGAGATCGGCATCGAGGACTGAATGCCCAACATCGGCGGTACCCTAAGTAAAACGTTCCTAATCGGGCTACCCTACCCTTGGGCTACCCTACCCTCGGGCTACCCTGCCTCCTGCTCGACTCCAAACCAAGCCATCCCAACCCATCCCAACCCAGCCCACCTGCAGTGAGCCCACCAGGTTCTCCAATCTGTCCATGAACGACATCGTACAACCGCTGACAACGGTCAGGCGGGTCAGGTTGAAGGGCGCAGAGGGGTCCACAAAGGGCTGCGGTGGCGTGTAGTACGGCGGGTCGGTGAACGGGCGAATCACCACCATCCACCGAGGACAGGGCACCGCCGACGGCACCGCCACCATCACCGCCGCCGCGACCGTCAGACCGATCACACACGCCCCCACCGCATGCGCTGCAAACTGTGCACGTGGCTGGGACGCCAAGCGGCGGCAGCTGACGTCAAACAGATCCCACGCCGCCACCGTCTTCACCACAGCCGCATGTGCCGTACGGCCAGCCGCCTCCGCCACTGACAACGCCGCGACCCCCGTCGGGCTCCTCGACAGCAGCTGCACCGCCCATATCCGCAACGTCGCGTCCAGTCCACGACACCACCACGAGCTGACGACGGTGCTGCCGCACTTACCGCCGTCATCTGCCTCCCGGAGCGAGCCATGGCGCCCTTTACCTCCTCCTCCTCCCCCCGCCCCGCCTCCGCCTTCCGCCGTGGCTCGCAGCACCACCACTCCCAGCACCAGCAGCAGCTGCATGGCCACCAGGTTCCGGAGCGAGGCCTTGAGCTCTACAAACCAGAGCTCATGGACCACGAATTGGTGCATGCCGTCGGCGTACCGGTCCGCGGACACTAGCCCCCACCAACGCTCGCCGCCGCCGCCGCCGCCGCCCTCCACCTCCTCCTCCGGGACCGGCAGCGGCCGCACGTCCGCGTGGGTAAGCCGTTGCGCGTGCCAGGAGCGGTCACTCCCCGGCTCGTACCTGGCCGCCACCTCCTCAGCGTAGTCCGTGGCGTTGGCCACGACCGCGCGCAGCAGTAGCAGCTCATCCCCACAGTGCCTCTTGCAGCCGTGAACCCAGCGGTGTACGGCACCTCTCCAGAGGAAGGGCCGTCCCGAGGAGAACACCTGCGTGCCCTCCGCAACCCCAGCCTCCCCCGCACCACCACTTCCCTCCTCCCGTCCTTCTTCCTCCCCCGACGGCCTGGACCACACTGGGCCCCCCCCCGGGTGATGCAGCTGGTCCGCAGCTGGGTGGGGAATCCACTCGGACAGCAGGCTGCTGCCCTCCGTGAGGTAGATGCGTGGCGTTACCCGGGGGCGCAGCCAGGGCAGAGCTGCCGGCTGCACCAGCGACGTGAAGACCCACCAGCGTCCCTCCACAAGTACCGCAGTGGTGCCGCTCAGCTGGCCGCTACCGCCTACCTCCTCCCCAGGACCCCATGAGCCGCTGCCGCCGCTTGCACCGCTGGCAGCGCGTTCCTCCTCCCCATGCCGCAGCAGCGCTGCTGCTCCGTCCCATGACCCACGGGTCGCAGCAGTCCCGGAGTCGGGATTCCCCAGACGCCGGGCGGAGGTGGCTGTTGCTGCTGCCCCAGGGCCTCCAGCTGCGTTGCTGGTAACAGCCGTGTCGGGGCTACTGCTGCTGCTGTCCCCCGCTGCAAGGGAGGAAGGGATGAGGGGGCCGCTCAGGGGCCGCCAGCCCAGCGGGAATTCCACGGCCGTCGTAACGTACGCCCGCAGGCTGCTGCCACCGCGGCTGCGGCTGCTGCCGAACCATGACGGGCTGGACTGTGCGTTTGGAAGCATGACGTATAGCTTGCTGGGCGCGTCGTACACCACGAACGGCGAGGAGAGGGACGTACGGCGGTCCGCCAGCGCGACCCCTGCGTGGCGCCAGGTGACGCCGCCGTCGTGGGAGACGGAGGCGCCGATTTCGCTGTTGTGGGTTTGGAGGTTCCGCATTTCGTAGAACACAGTCCAGGTGGATGCTTCCAGAGGTTCATCGTCTGTCGAGTGTGTGGAACGGTGTCAGGGGAAAGGGCCGGTGGAGCCGCGTACAGCAGGGCTTTTTGGTAAACTGATCAAACTGTATTTGGGGTAGTTATGAAATAAGACACGTTTGTCAAAGGCCGAGGTGCTTTTGTTAGTGGTGTTGTGTGGCCATGGCTTAGAATGCCACGGGTTTATGGTAAGGGGCTGGGACACGAACAAGCCACAGAGTCCGCCTCAAGACTTTGCGGGAAACGAACGCATGAATAGCCAAAGACGCGGGTGTGCTTCGCATCGCCACCACCAGGAGCATTGGCTTGTGAGCATCCAATAAGACGGTGGTAGAGCTAATGGTCTTTCCCGACAAGAAACGGTTTGTAAACGCCTCCTCGCGCACCGACCCGAATTCCGACAGGCTTACCCCCGGGTACGTGCACGAAAGGCGCTCTTACATAGCTAACGCTTGCCGGGGTGACATCAGCGCATGTTATGAGGGGCTCTGTTGAAATGTTGAGCGCCATGGGATTGGGTCCAGAGAAGCTGCCGATTTTCCATGAGCCTTCATAGTCCCAAGAGCACGGATCGACGCCGTGTCGCACTGGCTTGCTAGTGAAAAGCTCCAACCCAATCCAGCCAGAAGGTTTATTGAAGTAAGGGTCCAAACTTAGCACGACGAGCAGGATGACGCTGCCGATGAGGTACGCCGACCAATACAAATTGACAGCCGGGCCGCTGCGATTGTTCCTACTGATGAATCCTGCCATAGTTCAATAGTTACAATAGCCCGGAGACACTTCGCAGCAGGAAAACACACGGTGCCTGGCGGCGATATTTAAAATTGAAGTGCAGTTAATGCTTTCGTTACGATATCATGTTGTGCTCGTATACATAGAAAACAGAGGCTCGGATCAAGCATTGCCCGCGCCATTTAAAGAAACCGTGCACGCTCACTAAACATCCCAACTTCGGAAATTGTGAACTACTCATACATGCCAGATAGCCTGCAAATAGCGATGAATAAGCTACGACATAGCCGTTAGGTTGTCGCTCAACCTAACAGCACGTCGTGCTATTGTCGCGCTTCTGTCGTACCGGTAATCGCAGCTTCAAGGAGGCCCCGCAGCGCCAAACCCCCGTATTTGGGTTTCCAGCCGTTCACAATCCGAAGGTTCCATTGACAGAAGCACTAGGATGACCCGATAAGCGCTATAAGCTGCAATCCGATAGGCGCTTGGCAGGCCAGGCAGGCCATATGCCTTTTACCGTTGGTTAAACCGTTGTAAAGTCCGCCTTTCTTACACTGCGAATTACTTTCAGAGAATCCTTTTGGCCATTGCCTCCTTCGCTTGAATGGACAGGTTTGCTTGGTACAGAGGTTGTACGATGAATAATGCCCTACCTAGGGCCCTACGCTGAACAACGTGGGTTCCATGCAAGGCGACACCCAAAAAGTAATCACAGTATGAAATATGTTGTATTGCCAGGCCCTACCTGGTGCTGCCCCGCCGCCAAGAAGAATTCGTAAGAGCCCCTGGGGCTAAATACGGTGTACGGATGGGATTAACGGGCGATGAATAGTACGCTTGTATAGGGGTCGTGTAGGGTGTCGTACTTCAAGGGTTGTGTAAAGTTTAGGCATCATATATTTTTCGCTCTACCTTCCTTGGGACTCGTAAGCACAGCGGATGCCGGACTTGGAGTCTTCGGACAAGCAGCGGCAAAACTCCCTTGCCATCATCATCATCATCATTGCACTCATCGCAGGGTAGGAAAAAAGAACTTAAGGGTCCCTTTCGCGGCAACCTCCGAGATAAGCCGTCGTCATCAGCGGAGTAATTGCAAGCGGATTTTAAAAAAATAAAAAAAACCTGCTGCCTTTCAAGCCCTAGAACTCACTAAAAATTCCTCTGTTGTAACTTTCCTATCGCCGCACGCTCTACGGAACATTCCTGCATATTGCCTCATCGCACACTGGCCTGCCATCACCGCCGCCATTTCTATATACCACGTCTGACGTCCCCGCTATCCTTATGTATCTTACATACATATATACATACATGCGCCGTCCCGCTGCATGGCAAAATGCGGCGATCGACCACAGCTATCGATGCCGCCATCTCGTCCGCAGCGTACTAGTTCTGCCTGCTGCTGCTGTCGGTCGGTTTGCCACCTTGGGCCGCCACCATGGCAGCACGGCGCGACAGTGCTCCGCCGCTGCGTTCATCACCACTTGGTAGGTGCCGTCCTTCATCTCCGCACATGCGGCTGCGAACGTGGATTTGCTGTGCTCGTAGTTGGCGGCTCGGGCGCGAATGGAGGTACCGTTCGCCAGCTGGACAAGCTGTGTGTACGGAGAAGGGCGGGGAAAGGCCCGTACGGCGCAAAAGGACTAATCATGAATAATATAACCACAATAATCATAATCATTTAGGCCTTCATCACTACACCTTTACAACCCATAACGGCATATCCACGAATTTGCCATCTATGCTACCAAGTATTCCCACCCACACGCACATTCCGCTGCAGCCTTCCACTTCCTTACTGCCCAGCACCTGCCTAGCGTTACCTTTTCCAGAGGGGTAGGAGCTGCGGCCAACCGGCTTCGTTTGTAGCTGGCCATGGAGGGCTCGTGTGGCCGGTGCACCATCCACACATCATGAAGACACCGGAAGTGGTAGTCCAGTTTGTGCAGATAGAACGTGTTCACAATCTTGTCCCGGTAATACCCTCTTTGGATTGGATGGTCAAATAGAGGCACACGGCTCAATAGGCAGCATGCGAGGGTGTCCACGCGTGTTTTTTTCTATTTTGAGTTTCTCTCACGTGTATGAACATGCGTAAGAGACAGATAGGCGCGCCGTTTCGTCATGTAACCGGGGGAGGGGTCTTCTGCCGAGCCGTTCTTGGGCAGTTGAGAGCAGTGCGTGCGTGTCGTGTGCGTGTCGTGTGCACACACAAGCAGGCAATCACCATGCATCGAGCTTTGCGTTTGGATGCCACGGCGCGGCTTCGCACCTCGTAATGCTGCATACGACACGGGAACAAGCTGTCGGTTCGGCTGGGAAACACAAACGCCAGTGTACGCGTGTACGCAGAACAATTGAGGAGGAAGGGGTTTAGGGTGGGGCGCTACGAGGACACGGGCAGAGCAGCCAACGGGTAGAGCATTCACCGACCCGTTCACCTATATGCCGTACATTCACTCACCTAAATCGGGAATCGTACGGCGGCAGCGCAATCCTGTGGGGCGAGTCACGCGCGGGATTTGGCTGGTGATCAAGGGCTCAGTCGTACAGTAGTACGGCTATAGTACGGACATCTGAAATGTCGCGACAGCAACATAGAAACCTGCGCAGCAAGGCGGCATATATGCCACGTCCGGACGTCGCGGGAGGCCAAGGATATTTTCTCTCGCTATGGACAGCGAGCAGCACCACACCTGCGCCTTTCTAAATTTAAACTTTGTTTTTACGGTATACACTTATTACTAAAGTCGTATGGCATCATACGACATCGTACGACATCGTACGACAATATATAGCATGCAGCGTGCAGTATCCGCGAGCGCATAGTAGTAGCGATCCACTTGCCTATCGCCGATGAAGAAGGGCTCGTAGCCCTCCCTATAGGTGATGCTGTAGTCGGTGTTCGACTGCTTCCACTGCTCGTAGTCGGTGGGGCCATGGCCAGCAGTGAAGCCATGGATGCCGTACGGATAGATATTTGATCTGTTGCGCCACATCTCCAACAGCTGAGCCTTGGCGTCGGGCCCCCCTGGCCAGTACGAGCAACGAAAGGGTTTGGAAAGTCCAAATCCAGCAGGTGTACGGCTTCCAGTCATTATTATGTATGGAAGGAACCAAACCCAGCAAGCAAGCATTAAAGACGTGGAATGCAGGAAGCAGGTATACAAGGTGATATAAACAAAAAGGAAAGACGGTAAATTCAGCGCTAACATAATGTGACAAATGTGTGTGTGCATGTGTGCATGTGCATGTATATAACTGTGGTGTTGTTGGAAAAAACACTCCCATTCCAGGAGATAGGATTGTTGGCGTTACCGCTATGTATGGCCACCGAGGTGCGGAGCTGAGCATCCACCACCTTATAGCCACCAGCTTGAGATCAGCTTCACCTGCCCTCACCTGCGACCGCGGCGTCTACTGCTGCTTGGCGGTCCCGGAAGGGCAGCTTGTCGCTGGTGTCGAAGATGGGGACGACCCACACCGTGCGTTCCTCCGTAGCCTTCCGCTTGAGCTCGGCCACTCTGCACAGCACAGCACAGCACACAGTTAAGGGACAGCATAGAGAAGCGCACAGCGTAGCATAACAGCAACACAGCACATTAGCATAGCATAGCAACACAGGAGATGTGCTGTGTTGTGCACAGCACAGCACAGCACAGCACAGCACAGCAACACAGAATCGCACTACAGCGCACACAGCACAGCAGTGCAAAGCAGAACACATCACGGCACAGCGTTCCCCCATACTCCCATCCCCACACCAACCAGGCAGACGGTACTGTCTACATACAGCCATGCACGAGGTGCGACTTCCAGGGCTGCCGGCCTCCAAGCAAGCGCCATCACTCGCGCAGGAAGCCCTACCTGGCCTCGTTGACGAGCACCTCCGCGGCCAAGCCCCGGTTGAGGGCCATGTCGGCATCCACCATCGCGACCAGTGGTGTGGTGGCGGCGAGCACGGCCGTATTGCGCAAGATGTTGAGTGGCATCAGCGCCGCCATGATGTCATCCGCCACCAGCTCGTACAGCAGCATCACCCGCAGTACGCAGTTGCTGCTGGTGCTGGTGCTGGTACTGGTGCTGGTACTGGTACTGGTGTCGTCGTTTGCCGAGCTGGACTGTGCAGCAGGCGATTGCGGCGAAAGTTGTTGGTCCAGGCTGCGGAAGAGGCCGTCGACCTGCTCCGTGGCGTTTCGCAAAGCGTTAAGCTGGCTAGCGTCCAGGTCGGGAAGCGACGATTGCCGTTGTTGCTGCTCAGGTGACGAGGAGGACGCGGCCTTGGAGGTCGTGTTCGGGGCGATAAGGGGAATCCACACTGCCACGGAGATTGCGCCACCCGGGAAACCGCGGCACTGAGCCTCCACGGACTGCAGCAGCGCAAACAGCGAGGTGTGAGCATGTTACTCAAGGGCCTTCTTAAGGCATGCGCATATGATTTTCTGTGCGCGGTTCTCACTTTAAGGCGACCCAAATCGGAGTGGGTAAACAAGGTGACGGGCAGCCGGGGCTCGCGATGACTCCACCAGACCTTGTGTAATCGTAAACTACAGGCGGCATTTGGCAAGTGTAACGTCGTTAAGGTCGTTTCAACGTGGGCCTTTGGGGTAGGTTAAAGAAGTCACTGTGACGGAAGCAGTAAGTGCCGCACCTTCGACTTGGGCTGTCTGCCAAGTAAGTCTTCATGTCGATGGGCTCCGGGCTAAACATGGCGTTGTAGCAGGACATCAGGGCATCTGCCATGACCTCCTTGGGTTCATCCTTTGGCGGGATTTGCCAGGCTGCAAACGCGGCCGCAGCGAACAAGTTCAGCAGCGTTACAAAGACAGATGCCCGCGTAGCAGAGCGTGCGAAAGGCATTTGGATATTGACGAGAATTCAGTAAAGTTATTTTAATTTTTTGTTTGCTTGTACTGCGTGCAAAGAAACCAGCTATGCCGCGCTGGTCGTATCAAGATCAACGCAATAACCCGAGCAGAAACAATACTGGACTTCGTGCTGAGCCGAGACAGCACAAAAGCTTTGTGCTAAGATTATAAATTTTGATATGGAATATTGATGTCCAGCTTTCCAGGTCAACTATGCAACATGCATACAGAAGGTCTATGTCTCTAGCTGGTTTCTAAAGCATCAGGGGCCAGGATATGACATTTATAACTATATGTTTCACCTTTTTAACTAACTTATAAAGCACGTCCATCCCATAGTCCAACGGGCGAGTTTTTGCTCGCCGTACATTTAACCGTTCGATCATGCAGCTGAAATTTGCATGGGGAACCAGATGCAATTCGGATCTTTTTTTATGAAATGTCTTCCTCCGTGCGCAAAACTCCGTTGGGATTGTTTCCGCACATTTGATCCATGCAATACCGTGAGTGAAGCAAACGACTTAAACCGCATCCAAACACAGATTTTGGGGCGATAAATTATCCAAGGTAAGGGTAACATAAATTCCTGTTCTCCGCGCAAGGAACACGGCAATCCTGTCGAGATGCGAGGTAAATGCCACGTATCGAACGGTGTTTGCGGGAATATCGCATCATTTTGAAATGTGCAGCGAAGGGATGAACAGGAACCATCAGCATCCCAAATCAGCATCCTGGAGGATGTGGAAACGGGTATAAATAAGGGCTTCAAACCTGCAGCACCAGGACTTCCAACCTGTTCGCCTTGCCCTTCAACTCTCTATCCTTCAATCCACCCTAAAATTACACGCCTAGGTACTGCAGCAGACTACAGGGTTTCCGATGAGTTACTGCGCTTACGCGGAAGGTGGTTCGACGATTCTCTGTATTCCGCGCAGATGATTTGGCGTAATTGCCGTAATTTCTACAGTCCCGGAAAGCAATTCAGGGCATCAACGCATGCTGTTGGCAGCGTTTTGAAGCTGACACGATATCCTTAAACATTACTCAAGCAAGCGCGCAAGTAAGGTCACGCACGAAGATCAAAGGAGCTAAGGACTATATTCCCTCGAATGGCTTGCACGATGGTCAGCGCGGATCGTCACATCTGGAGTTCACTTATATTGCCCAGCCGCTGTCTGCTCTTGGTCTCGTCGCTGATCGTTCCCTCTTTTCCTTGAAGTTGCATCTGCGCCTCCTTTTTGTTGATGCGAAGGGATGCCGTGTCGCCCAGTGTTTCTTCCCATTTTTGCCGGTTAATTTTCCAGTCCGAACGGAGGAATAGGTTTTTAGTCGCGGGAATAAAAGTATTCCGAATCTGTAAGGCCCCCAGACCCCCCCCCGATGAGTTACAGTTCGTGCAAACGCCGGTTTGGGGAATGTCGCAACACGCGCACACCACAATCTCTCAAGCACTGATCGAATAGAGTTCGTTCACCATCGTTCGTCTTGCATCACGTTGAAAGATAACACTACACGACTTTCCGGGTTGCAAAAGTAATGAAGCATAGCAGCCATGAACCGGAACCACCAAACGCAACCTGTTTCCTGGCCCATCGCGATTGTCTCCATATGATGAACGTTGATGTTTGGCCCGCTCGCTGTTGGCAACCGGAGTGGCGTCGTTGTCGTCGGCTGGCTGCAGCATTGCGTACACATTACCTACGACCTCTACACCTCCTTCATTAACCTCGCTAATGGCCTCAGTGAAGTTTTATATCTGCTTTAATGGCCTTCCAAGCTTTGGGAGCTTCGGGTCCGAATATTTTGCAGCGTTCGGTCCGGTCAGAAACAGTTCGATTCCTCGTTGACTTTCGGGCGTGACCTTCCTAACAGTATCCATTGTTGAAGAAATTGTTGTCCGGTCAGTCTGTCGCCTGGTGCTTGCGTGATAGTTGGTTTCTGGATTGGCTCGGAGCCATCTTCCGTACCTGCTGATCGACTGTCGAACTCGTCAATAAATAGGAATGAGCGATCGTTTATCTTTGGTCTGGTATGCTTCTAGGGTAGTGAGTTTGTGGCTGAGCTGAGCCGTTAGTTGCTTTTGTAACCCTCTGGCAATCACTATTGCATCCGATCCACTTAGCCTTCAACATCCATGGCATTAAAGTACTATGATATGGTTAACATGTATGTCTCCTGTAAGATTCTAGCGGCTTTGGCATGAGGAATGAACTCGAGGAATGAACTTGTACGGTCGGAACATTATTTTTTATTAACTTTCGTGACCACGAACAATTTTTTACTCCAAATTCGGAAATTATTCCGCAAAAAAATAACGCTGGCGTCGCCCCGTGGCCTGTTAAGGCCACATGGCAGGCTGTTTAGGTAACGGTTGTGGCCTGTTTAAGGCCGCCCGTCAGACTGCTGTGAGTGTCGGTTGTGGCATATGGAAGGCCGCCCGTCAGACTTCTGTGAGCAACGGCTGGCAGTTCCTAGAGTACTGCCAGCTCGTCCATCAGGATATGCTTCCCAAGCCTTTAAAAGGCTCTGCTGTTTACCTCAGATTCATACGTTTACGCCTAGGCAACGACCTCCTGAATATGTGTAACGGCCAATGACTCATAGTCGTGTCTGCTAGGTCCCAGTGAGATGGCGTCTCACCAACAGGTTATGAGCCCCGGGTACCGGTTCCCGGCGGTTACTATCTGTAGTTGCTTCAGCTTGAGCAGTCAGGCTCGCTAGGCAACCATCATGGGGAATGGATGTAAGACAATGGAGGAAGACGCACCCTGGAGACACACAGGCGCTCGGCTACCTGCGGCTGTCCTGTGAACTGCCCATAAAGCAGTTGCTCAGGAATTGTCAGACTACTCTGCATGGCAGAAGCAGCTGAGCATGCAGAAGCAGCTGAGCATGTGAGAACGAAGTCCGCTGACCGCTGACTTCATTCAGAACAGCAGAACAGCTCCACAGCGATATAATTTCGGCTGGCGGCCAGTGAGATGAGAGTGCAATGCATCACACCACAACTCGTGTTCATGCTGCGGGAGAAGGAGAACTACCTGAGGCTGATTATACCACTACCTCTCAACCAATTATGGATTACTCCACATCAACTACAACTACGTCTTTCATCGTCTAAATCTCTCTCTGGAGCCACCAAGGGGAGGTACCACTACAAGTGCAGCCAGACAGAGCACAGTTAAGTTTAATGCAGCCGTCCCCATTGCTGCCAACCAGGAACCGGTGGCACCACCCACAAATTTTGCTGCTGCTGTGGGATGTAACTGCAGAACAACAACCAGCACAGTGCACCATCTGGGCTGGGCCCAATGGAAGGGCACCCGACTGTACTGTGCATACGGGTTGCAAGGAGACAGTGCTCTCCTGCCTGGTCTTACCATTGGTGTTACAGTTTGGTATGATGCACCCAGTATGTTGCAGACACCGCACTGCACAGCAATGGGGGATGATACACCCCAGCCAGCCACAACTTTGTTTCACAGTCGCTTATACAACAGCTCCATGCTCGAGTGGGGAATACAACCTTCTCACATGTGAGTTTAGCCGATGGTGGTACCACACCTATCCTCGGCCAGACCTTGCTAAGACTTAAGCAGGTTCCAGCACTGATATTGCCTAACCTGACGGCGGCAGCAAACATAATCGTTGGAGTGCATACCATGACGGTGTATAAAGTCTGGTTTCACAAAAGGAACCTATCCTGTTGCGTCCAATTTGGTCGGATAAGCAAGCAGCGACAGGATATGCTGACAGCAGTAGCTGCGGTGGTGCCTACACGTGAAGTTCATCATGTAATTGCTGTGTTCATGAAACGAGCAAGTGTCAAATTGGCAAGTCACAAAGAAGTGAAGAGCCTAATGTGCAAGGGGCCACATACTTTGCTTGTCTGACCACTAGTATGAGCTGAAGCAGTACTGTTTCAGGCAGCGGCCTGAGCACAAACAAAATCGGGTGAAGTGCAGGGTCAGTGGTGGGTCACCGCTGCTGGTCACCACTGCCGCAGTCAATGCTGGACAGACGAAAACCCAGAATCCTCAGCATTGTCTGAGTCATAGCGTGCCACAAGTATTGGGCAGACACAAAACCCGGAGTCCATACCTACACTGAAGCACTGCACAATCAACGCTATTGAGCAGACCCTAGACCTGGAATTCAAAGCTTTGATTGCAAAATATTGATTGCAAAATACGAAGTGATCTTTCAGGACCTGAAGGGGCCACCACCACACCAACCTGTGGAACATACAATTCTGTTGCAACCAGGCACAACACCGATATCATGCCCACTGTATCCCTTAACTCCTGATGAGCTGGAGGAGGTGAAACGTCAAGTAACCGACTTAATGCAAAAGGGGATGATTCACCCTAGTGTATCTCCGTGGGCAGCTCCAATCCTCTTCGTGGGAAAGAAGAACAGAACGCATGGTGGTGGATTATCGAGGGCTGAACACCGTGGATAGACAACTTGGTGGATAGCCTGGGAGGTAGTATGATCTACTCCTCCATCGACTTACAACAAGGATAGCACAAAATTAAGATTCGGCCTGAGGATGTTCCGCTGACAGTGTTTCACACACCTCAAGGACACTATGAGTATGTTGTCCTGCCGTTCGGGCTGACAAATGCCCCAGCCACGTTCCAAGTGGTGATGAACCGAATCTTCCAGCCCTTTCTCGGCCAGTTTGTCATGGTTTACCTGGATGATATCCTGGTGTATTCCCGAGAAATCGCAAAGAACACTTAAAACACCTGGAAGCCGTGTTCGAAGTGCTAAAACGGGAACAGTTACATGTGTGTGTGTTACATGGTTGGGGGTGCGTGACCCCATACCTGTAAAGACTACCCATACAAGCCGAAGGCCCAAGGGCAAGTTACATGCGAAGTCGTCCAAGTGCCACTGGGCGCAAACTCAGATTGAGTACCTCGGTCACATCATTAGTGCCGACAGAGTTTGCATTGATCCTAAGAAGATGAAGGCTGTCCGTGAGTGGCCATTGCCAAAGAATGTATCCGAGTTACTGCAGTTCTTGGGACTTACGAACTATTTCTGAAAGTTCGGTAAAGCTACGGTTCGCTTTCGGCTCCCCACACAGACATGCTACATGGAAACGGTCAAGTCCGTCTGGAAGACTGGACACCTGAACGGGTATGAGCCTTTGAGGTGGTGTAAAACGCGTTGGCAGACAATGTACTGCTATGGTACCCGGACATGACTAAGCCCTTTACGTTCGAAGTGTGTGTGGTGTTGTTACAGTGGGCTCCAGACTCCCGAAGAGTAGTGATCTTGGACGCGTCCTTCCACGGTACAGTTGCAATTCTACTGCAGAACAGAAAACCAATTGCCTTCCCTAGCAAAAAGTGCACTCCAGCGGAATGGAACTATACCACAGGTGAGCAAGAGCTACTCGGTGTAATACACGCACTTCAAGAGTGGTGTTGCTACCTGGAAGGACCACATGATGGGGTTTTAGGGTTTAGTTTAAGGTCGTAACCGATCATCATCGGTGACGCGAATGCAAACGCGCCAAACTCTGAGAACCCGCATCCTAACTGGGTATGACAAGGACCAGTGGTTCCTCAAAACCTCGCGGACTTGGAAAGAACGCAGGACGGATTTTGGCTCAAGATTTTCCCTGATGGCAAAACATGTATACCATATATATGGCAGGACACCTGGGAATTCACCGCACATTGGAACTAGTGCAACGCAATCATTGGTGGCCCAATGTTGCTGCAGATGTACGGCACTTAGTCCTTGCTTGTGACAAATGCCAACACAATAAAGCTTGGACAGGCAAGCGGCCTGGCTTGTTGCAGCCTTTACCAATCCCTGAAATGCCTTGGAAATCCCTGAAGTGCCTCCATGGATCTCATTACAGGCTTGCCCCGTACGGCTCGCCAATTCAATGCTATCCTGGTCTTCATTGATCGTCTCACGAAGATGGCCCACTTTGTTCCGGTACAGAAAAGCGTGACCGCAGAAAAAACCGTGAAACTCTTCCTCCACCACGTGGTCCGGCTGCATGGTGTGCCAAAACAGACGGTTTCCGATCAAGGTTCACAGTTTGCCAGTCGATTCTGGCAAGAACTGGTATGAATGGTTAATACCGATCCTGCTCTCTCCAGTTCATTCCACCCTGAGACGGATGGACAAACAGAATGGATGAACCGAGTCCTGGGAGACATGCTTCGCAACTATTGTGATACAGAACCACGCTTGTGGGATGAAGCGTTACCCTTGGCTGGATTTGCCATTCATAACGCCGTGAATCGGGCAACGAAGCAAACCCCGTTCTTCCTCAATTATGGGTGGCACCCAACAAGACCAGCTTGCAACGTGCCAGCCGCAGCTGGTACGGCTGAGTCTCTGGAAAGACGACTTCAAGCAGCTAAGCGATGCCTGAAAGCAGTCCAAGATCGGACCTGCATACTACAACACGGATAAGAAACCAGCCAAGTACCAGCCGGTTGATTTACTCCTACTGAGTATAAAAAACTTACAAGCAGACCCGAAGGTATCCTGTAAATTACAACCCCGATGGATTGGACCTTTTCCCGTGGATAAGATGGTGGGTAAAGCTGCTGTGGGCTTAATCCTTACCCTGAATCTGAAGATTCACAATGTATTTCACGTAAGTCGCATCAAACCATACAAGGCCGATGGACCGTTCCACCCCATTCCACCTGAGACATTGCCTGCTTGGCAGGGTACTTCTGAGGATAGTTATCTGCAAGTTGAGAGAATACTTGATTACTGACACCGAAAGGTTGGCAAAAACATGTACACGGATGAATACCTCATACGGTGGCAAGGATACTCAGACGAGCATAATAGCTGGGAACCAGCGGATCATTTTACCCCTGACATGACAGCTGAGCTGGAGTCTGTACGACAACGGACTTGCAGGGACGTCAAGTCCTAAAGGGTGGCAATTTTGTGGTAACACATGCGTGACATGCATAGCCACGTCTGAGAAGGACTTATTCAAAATGACAGGCTAGAATCCAACGGTCGTGATTGATTAAGGGACTTCAGCCAGTCACTGATTGACATTCCATCGGTTTGATGACCATTCTGCTTGACAGCGGAGCAGGACTGCGTCCTATTTAAAGGCAGCCTGAGGCTGATTATACCTCTACCCCTCAACCAATTATGGATTACTCCACATCAACTACAACTATGTCTACTCTTCTCAGAGTGGAGTCTTTGATCGTCTAAACCTCAACTCTGGAGCTGCCAATGGAAGGTACCACTACAACCGCTGCTGGAGCTAGGTGTGCAGCTGACATGCATGCCACCTTGTGCTGCGGTACGACACACAACCACCTCACGCCCACATGGCACTCTTCTCACATCCCACCACCCACTGCTCGTTCTCCTGGTCGGTGTAGGCCAATGACCATTGAGTAGCACCCAGGCTTGTGGTGTGCAGTTACCCAACCCATTAATGCTGATGTGCACAACATGCAACTATACTCACCTGTGACAAACCAAAGGGGTACCTGCGCCACCTCGGGACTGCCGGCATTTAGGCAGGAAATGGTGGGTGTAACTAAAACCGCAACACAATATGTGTGGGCAGGGGGCTAGATCATTTTGGAACCCAAGGAAAACCGAGAAACCCAAACCTGAGCCAGCCCAAACCCAAGGACAAAACTGATACCCAGAGCCCCAGACAATTCGACCCAGATAGTGTGAAGGAGGATTGGCCTTAACATTTGCCTTGGACACCCTTCAGCCTTGTTCTTCTGGTCGGTGTAGGTCATAGAATGTCAATTCAGGGATGACTTTAGGGCAAGGAAGCATGGTGGGGGGCACCATGCCCGGTCAGAGGATGAAAGGGAGAGGGAGATGCCCAACCCTGACCACGGTAGGGGTGGTTTGGGTGTGCAAGTGCGCCACCTCACCCATGAGACTCATGACAGCCTGCACCAATGCTCTTCCCCACCCTCTCCCCCTTCCCACTTTCTTTCTTCTGAACACACAGGCCATCACTGCCACCCCGTTCACACTGGTGAACACCTACCAGCAGCATTGCTGCCTGCCCAAGCACAACACCCTGGGTTCTGATGCATATGCATCAGAGTGCTCTTTATTTAAATAAAGAGCACTCAATGCATGCAGTTGGCACTACTTACCTGCAGGGCCATGCTTGTAGGGCCCCTTGCCGGTGGTGCTCTTGAACTTGACATGCTTGTTGTGAAGGTCCCTGAAGGTGATGTCGCCCAGCACCTTCACAAAGGCTGTGTCGTTCCTGTATGTTCTCAGGCTGCATCCCAAGGCCGCAATCAAACCACCTGTCACAATGCATGGCACCGGGTAGCTCAGTTCACACCAATGGTGGATTCCCATCGTGTGTGACACAGAGGCAAACTCACTTGTGCTGCCCCATGGATGACAGCCTCTTTGGCAGCAGTGACTAATTTAGCACGTGCAGAATGAACTCATCCTTGTTGCTGCCCTTCAAGAAGCAGGTGTGCTGGAGCTCATACTCATGCTCGATGGCACTGCACCAAATGATGCCGTTCTGGGAGCATGCAACATCATGGGCAGCGAATTCAATATCAACGGCTCCCAGAACGGCATCATCTGGTGCAGCACCATAGAGCACAAGTATGAGGTCCAGCATATCTGCATCTTAAAGGGCAGCGACAAGGATGAGTTCATTCTGCACATGCTAAATTAGTCACTGCTGCCAAAGAGGCTGTCATCCATGGGGCAGCACAAGTGAGTTTGCCTCCATGTCATGCATGATGGGAATCCACCATCAGGCACGGACTGAGGTACTGAGCTACCTGGTGTCATGCAGTGTGACAGGTTGTTTAATTGGGAATGGCCTTGGGACACCTCCCATGAACATACAGGAACGACACAGCCTTTGTGAAGACACTGGGCGACATCACCTTTGGGGACCTTTACAACAAGCACGTGAAGTTCGAGACCACCACCGGCAAGGGGCCCTACAAGTGTACTCTGGCCCTGCAAGTGGTAAGTAGTGCCAACTGCACACATTGAGTGCTCTTTATTTGTGGCTGCCAGCTCCCCATGTTACTTCAAGCACATCCTGAACCTGAACTGTGAAACCCCCTGGCTCCATGCATTGGAACCCTGCACTCATGGTAAGGATTGTGCAGACTGCTTTGTAGATTGTACGGATTGTATGGACGGCTTCGACCCAACAGAGTACCTCTTCAACCACGTGTTGCAGCACGATGGCAAGGAGGAGCTCGTCAAGATGTGGCTGAGCTGGCTTGACACCGGAAGCATCATGGAGATGGGGGCCGAGTTGTCCCAGAGGAGTCGGTGGATGTGGAGGAGGAGGTGGATGTGTAGCAAGGGGGCCCTTAGGCCCAGGCATGCAGGGTCTCAGGAAGTGGTGTGACCCAGGAAGCAGTGGACCAGCAGGGCACCTGGGGCAAGTCACATTGATTACATTGTTGCTACTCAGAGGTGGGCTGGATGGACATGTGTGGTTCTCCATTGTGTGCCGGATGAAAGTGTGCTGACATGCAGCTGCACCCAGTGGTGGGGCTGGGCGGTAGAACAGCAAAGCTCCACGTAAGAGTAGACATGGCACCAGCACCTATGGCTAGGTTATTGACTCTGACACACATTGACCATATGAGTCACTGCATGACAAAGAACCGGGCAGCTAGGTCCATGCTGACAGATGTTCATTTTGGGGGGCTAATGTTTCACCTTTTGACTCCTGGTCTGTAGCTCCTGCCACATTTGCCAGGTGCTGACTGGCTTAACACGGACCTGGGTGACTAGGAGATGCAAGTTTGGGGCTCAGCAAGGGGATTGGGATGTTGCTGGGGTGGGGGCGGGGGCCCAGGGCAGCTGGTGGGTGGTGGGCTGGGGGTTGTGACCGCCCCCTGGGCCCCCGCTCCTGCCACCACTGCAGCACAGTGCAGCAGGCCTTGGGTTACCCAGCAGCATCTCCATCAGCATGTGATGCATTTCACTCACTCACTCACCTGTGCATGTCTGATGATGTCCTGGGCTGACATGGTGCTGTGGGCAGCCTCGAACACATCAGCCACAAAGCGCATCAACATCCCATCACATAGCAATGTGACACATGCCTGATGGTGCCGTATGATGGGAAAGCATGCAATGTAACCAAATGAGTGGGGGACGGCAGATGCACACACGAACACGTCAAAGCAGTGCAGTCAAAGCAAGTACAAGGGCCACAGGAGGGCCCTACCTCACCTCCACAAATAATTTCTGACGAAAACATTGCTGAGTTGGCATCACGACCCGTTTGGATAATGGGGACGTCCGAATGCTGCTATGAACATGCAAGGGGGCACAGAAGAAATGCGGCAACCAACATGCTGCAGGACCAACATTCAGGAGAGTAGAGTCGTTAACCACATCCACCTGTGCAGCAGTTAAGGCAAACCAGGGGGATGCAGTGAGTTCTGGGAGTCATGGGCCTAGCCAGGACTTAAGGTCAGAACAAGCACTCAGTCATAGTCACGCAACCCAGCCTGGATCTTTGCATCTGTGACACAACCTACCCACACAGTCCTGCAGTGTTGGCACACTTGGATGTCGTGTGCACGCAAGCCACCAAATGGCATCTGTGTGTTTGGCATGCAGCAGGTGTGCGGAAAGGACTCTATCACTCCTAGATGCTGCTTCATTCCGTGGGCCCAGCCCAAACAAACTTCCCAAGTTGGCAACCGGACTCCCTGAGTGAGTACCATGTCACAATTCAAGCCTTTAGGGTGCATAGCTCGGGACAACAACGTCCCCCTTGGTGTTGACGCTACAGGCAAGCCCCAGATGTAGGAGGAGATATAACTCTTCCTTAGATTCGTAGTAAAAGGTCACTCGAGTTTCTTCGCAGGATCCGGGTGTGTATATATGTGGGCTTCCACCTACACCGGAGGCGTGTTGTCCTCCCCTTACCTCGCTGCCTCCCCGTTTCCAGATCATCAAGTTCCAGGGCCTCTGCCGTCGGCCGTGAATGCGAACGTGAACGCGACTTGGAGCCCTACTTGGAGCCCGCGGCCAGCGAGGAGGGCGGGCCGGTAATAATGGTGACTGCTGAGTTTGCACAAGTGCAGGACGTGTGGTCGCCGCCAGGTGCTGAAGTACTGGTGCTGTGTCAGAAAGAGCTATGGACATGAACAATAACCGTAACTTTGCGGGTGCCGTAGTAGTCCTGTGTTGTTGGTCGCGCGACTGTCTGATGGTGCGCTTCAACGCGCCCATGTTATCCCGCAGAGCATTAAGAATTACTGTAATGAAGTTATTGCAGAAGTATGGGAGCTGGAACTGTCTGAAATTGGCGATTTCGTCTCAGCCGGGATTGATCCTCAGCGGCCGAAATGCAGCCCCGCCACTGGTCTTCACATTTTTTCGGCCCGAAAGCACCATAAATTGATCAGTGTGCATTAATAGACGCCAACCGCTTGTCGTTTGCTAGCACGAAGGCGGCGGCCTAGTAAAACTTTGCTCGCCAAGCCGATATTTGCTGGCAAGGATGTTAGATTGCCTAACGTACTGCGCGTTTGTGTACTGATGCGTGCCGTGATTGGGCTTTGGGGCAGCGCTGAAGGTTCGGGGTCATTGCAGTCTGGGATGCTGAGGTCACATAGGTCTGCCATTGAAAATCTTATATGTACGACACACATCCCTTCTTTTGTTTAACATGACAGAGATGGTTATCTCGCACATGCCTGCCTGGCATGGGCACATATTCAGGAGCATCTCAGTAAAGGAATACTCAAAACGGGAGCTGCATACACAGTGCTTGGAAGTGCGTTGTGGGTCATGTTGCACATGTCGTATCGAGCGCCGCAACGGTGCGCAACCAAGTGCGCAAAACTAGACTCAAATCGGTTTTCCGCTTTCGCGTTGGTAGAGACATACAACAGGTTAACCAAAGGAAAAAAAGCGAAGAGCTTTTGAAGGGAGCTGTCCGTGTTTCGGTTGTTTTGTTGTTTGTAATTGCAACTTCATCGGGATAACATTACTCCTCAATCCCGATCCGTTATTGTTAACAAGTTTTGGTGCGGCGTATTGCCGCGTTTTCGGGCACATGAGCCGCTCTGTCGCCCGCATTTTCACGTTGGGACTTGGGAGAGGGTTGCAGCCTTTCTTTAGCACATTAGGAACATCTAATGTCTTATCGCATATAAGGATCGCGGGCAAGGACCACTGTGGACATCTTGATGGTTGGCTAGCGAGGTGCTTTTCAACGGCGCTTTCTCCTGTCTCCGAGCAAGAGCAGCAGGCGCTTTCTTTGATCCGTAATATTGGCATTTCAGCGCATATTGATTCGGGTAAAACAACACTGACAGAGCGCATCCTGTATTACACGGGGCGTATCCGCGAAATTCACGAGGTGGGTGTCCACTGTCAAATGCGCTGAACATGCTGATATTCCTTTCCTTACATTCTCCCAAAAATCCAAAGGTTCGGGGGAAAGATGGCGTCGGCGCTAAAATGGACAGTATGGACCTTGAGCGCGAGAAGGGTATCACCATCCAGTCGGCTGCAACATACTGCGCCTGGAAGGACAAGCAGGTGAGCATGAAGGCGGGGAAATGGGCCTCGTCAAGTACGGCCTCGTCCGGCAGTATGACGGCTGCTGGGGCCCAAACTATCGAAACCACCTTGACGCTATGCGCAGCTCTGACGCTATGCGACACGTCTACCACAGTTAACTGAATTCCCAATACCCAACAGCTCAGCAACCAGAGACCCCTAAACATCTCCTCTATCCTCCACTTCCCACGTCGCCCCATTTCCTCTCCCCACACACGCAATCCTTCCCATCTTCCCATGTGCCACACCTCCTTCGCGGTCTGTTTGCTGATCCACGACCTTCCGGCCCCCCCCCGGCAGATCAACATCATCGACACCCCCGGCCACGTGGACTTCACCATCGAGGTGGAGCGCTCGCTGCGGGTTTTGGACGGAGCCATACTGGTGCTGTGCTCCGTGGGCGGGGTGCAGAGCCAGTCCATTACTGTGGACCGTCAGATGAAGAGGTGGGGCCCTTGCTAATAGGTGGGAGGGAGGGAGGCGGGGAGGGGAGGGGGAAGGGAGGGAGGGAGGCAGAAAAGGAGGGAGGGAGACGGGTGCCGCATGACACCATTTCGTAAGAAAGTTGTGGGAGAAGGGGATATCGCATGTGTGGGTGTATCACATGTGGATGTGTACGGCCCCAACGGCAGTTGATTTCTTGAGGCTTTACTAGTCGTCAGCACTTGACCCTACCTTGCTTCTTGTGTCGTACGGTTCCCCCTCACCTCCCCCGATCCGTCTATCTCTGGTATCTGCTGCCTCAATCGTCGGTGGTTGTCTGACCTCCGCCTCTCCCCAGCCCCCCACCCATACACACACACCCGCAACTCTCCCGTACCCAAACCCAACAGGTACAACGTGCCTCGCCTGGTGTTCGTCAACAAACTGGACCGCGCGGGGGCCAACCCCTGGCGCTGTATCGACATGGCACGGGACAAGCTCAAACTCAATGTAGCTGCCGTACAGGTAGATCCGATGTACGGCAGAGTACGTCACTGCCACGAGGAGCTATCCTGGGCCGAGGGCATTTATTACTGCCGTACAGCTGCAGGCCCATCAGGGCTCTAAGTTCTGTACTGCACTCGTCCTGGCCACTCGTACTCTGCTGCCCCTAACCCCTTTCCCACGGGGACTTAGGACACCAGCAGAGAAATTCGTTTTCGGACTTTGGACGTCGTGGCAGCTCATTTCTGGTTTCCTTGCATGTGGGTTATTCTCTCTCCCCCCCTACCACCCGCCGCTCTTCCCCCCTTCCCCCTTTCAGATCCCCATCGGTTTGGAGGAGCAGCACGCGGGTGTCGTGGACCTGGTCGGGCGTAAGGCCTTTTACTTCGAGGGGCCGAAAGGGGAGAAGGTGAGGTGCGGTGCGAGGGGGGGAAGGGGGAGGGGGGGAGATGTAGGCAGTAGCAGGAGTGGCAGCAGCAGGAGCAGCTGCTCCTGCTGGCGGTAGCAGCAGCGGATTCATTGGTCACTCATCAGCGGCCGGCGGGTGATGATGGGTGGAGGGGATGTGGAGGGGCCCGCATGCACGTAAGTATGGCTTGTTGGGGTGCTTGCGGAGGATGTCTGAGGCCCGGGGTGGGGGGGGTTGCGGAGCTGCACCCGCTGGCTTCACCTCATGACACGGATGCCCCTGGTGCAGTGTGCTCTCTCCCACACCCACACCCAAAAAGGGGTCTTCGTTGCAGAGTGAGCTCAGCCTTGGCACACACTAGGATGTACGGCACGTACGGCATCATTGGGATGGTGATCCTCTGCTGGCCCCCCTCTACTTTCCCCCCATACCTCCTTCAGGTGGTTGAGGGTCCGGTGCCCGACCGACTGGCTGCTGAGGTGGAGTCCCGGCGGATGGAGCTGCTGGAGAAGGTCAGCGAGGTGAGGATGCGGCGGGCTGGCGGGCTCAAGTGCGGGTGGGGTGGGGGGGTTGGGGGGTGGGGCGTGAGGGGGTAGGGTTTTTGTTTGAGTGTTCCCACCCGTGGATGGCAATTAATCTAGGATGGTGAAAAACGGGGGGGGGCCGGCTTGGAGCTGGGTAGCGTGGGGTGGGGGGTATTGCCCGGGTATCGCCCCATATCATGGTCCCTTCCCTTTTGGGGGCTTTCGGTGACTTCATATTATCGCTTAGGAGCCGCTCACGGAGGGCAGGACTTGGGACACTTTGGACGCCTTCCGGCAGCAGTTCATTGCTTCTTGTTTCCCCCCTGCAGCATATGACTTCCCCAAACCCACCAAAAAACGCATTCACACACACACACATTCACACACACGCATTCACACACACGCATTCACACACACACACACTCAACCACCACACAACCAACCAGGCAACCAACCAACCAACCACCCCAGGTTGATGACTTGCTGGCGGAGAAGTTCCTGTCCGAGGAGCCTGTGGGCCCCGAGGAGCTGCGCGCCGCCATACGCCGGGCCACGCTGGCACTCAAGTTCCAGCCCGTGTTCATGGGCAGCGCGTTCAAGAACAAGGGTGGGTGGGA